GAGATGAAAGGCTTTATAAATGTCAATTATGTCCAGTTGGTCTAATGTATCATTTAAGGATGTTATTTCCTTATTGATTTTCTGTTTGGATGGTCTGCCCATTTCTGACAGTGTCCTATTTAGGTCCCCTACTATGATAGTATTTTGGTCTGTTTCTCCCTTTAGTTCTGTTAGTAATATGCTTCACATATTTCAGGGCTCCCTGATTGGGAGCATAGATATTAATAACTGTTATATCTTTTTGGTACATGATTCCCTTTATTATTATGAAGTGTCCCTCAGTATCTTTCTTTACCTCTTTGATTTTGAAGTCTATTTCGTCCAATATTAGTACTGCTACTCCCGCTTTTCTCTGAATGCCATTTGTTTGAAATATCATTTTCTACCCTTTAACTTTGAGTCTATATTTGTCTTTGGAGCTGAGATGTGTCTCCTGAAGGCAGCATATGATTAGGTTTTGTTTTTTGATACATTCTGCAACTCTGTGCCTTTTTAGTGGTGAGTTCAGTCCATTTACATTTAGAGTGATTATTGAAATATGAGGTCTTCTTATCGCCATTTTATGTTTTGCTTTCATGGTAGCTCGGTGTTTCCATTGCTTCCTTGTCCTTGTGTTCCTCTCTTCTTTATTTTGGTTGGCTTTTGTGGGTTTTCCCTCTGGTTCTTCTTGTTTTATGTTATATACTTCAGTTCTGAATCTTTGGTGTGTAGTTAACATTTCAAATATGAAAAGAATAGTTACATATATACAGTCATCCATTTTCTTTTGTGTGTGCCTTATCTTCTTTCCCCTCTGTGAATCTGGATCTTTGAATCCTCCCCTTTTCAGTCATTGTTATCTCAATTTGTCCCTATGTATGCTGAATGTTCATTACTATCTTGCTATAGCAATTCTCTTATTATTTAAGCTTATAATGCCCTGTTTTTAGTAAGGGTACACTTCTTTGCTTCTATTTGCCTAGTAACTTTACTCTTAATTATGTATTTTTTTATTTTGTTACTTTGTTTTAGATGAGATGACACCTTTCAGTATTTCCTGTAGCACAGACCTCATAGTGGAGAATTCCCTCAATTTTTGTATGTCTGGAAAGACCTCAATTTCTCCTTCGTATCTTAAGTAGAGCTTAGCTGGATACATTATTCTAAGCTGATAGTTCCTGTCACTTAATAGTTTAAATAAATATTTGATTCCATTCCTTTCTGGCTTGTAAGGTTTGCACTGAGAAGTCCAATGATAATCTAATGGGTTTTCCTTTATTTGTTGCCTTCTTCTTTTCCCTGGCTGCCCTGAGAATTGTGTCTTTTTCGTTGATTTTTGATAACTTTAGTACAATGTGTTTTGGTGAAGGCCTTTTTGCATTGAGATAACTGAGTGTTCTGTTGACTTCTTGATTTCCAAGCTCCAGCTCTTTCATTAGATTTGGGACATTTTTGTCCACTATTTGTCTGAAAATGCTTTCTAGTCACTGATCCTTTTCCTCGCCTTTGGTAATGCCCATTAATCTTATGTTTCCTCTCCTGATAATATTAGCTAGTTCTTGTATTTCTCTTTCATTATTTTTTATTCTTCGGTTTCTCTCTTCTTCCTTCTGATTTATTTCTAGATTCCTGTCTTCGCTATCACTGATCCTTTCCTTTATTTGGTCGACTCTGTTTCCCAAGCTTGTTATTTCATTTTTCAACTCTTGCAGTGTGTGCTATTTGGTTCATTTTGAGGTTTCAGTCTCCTTGCTTTGCTCATCTAGTTATTTTTTTCAATTCCTGAAATTGTTCATTTGAGCTGTTTTGGATCTCATTGAGTTTTTTCAGAAGTACCATCCTGAATTCTCTGTCATTTAAGTCACATATTTCTATATCTGTAAGTTTATTTTCTGGAGATTTTTCTCTTTCTTTCTGAGATATCTTGTCACCTTGGTTGTTCATGGTGTTTAATGGACTATTTCTGTGCCTAGATATTAATGGAAGTGTATGCTGTTGTTTTTCCAGAAAAATTTATTATATAAAGGTATCTCTTTAGCCTGCTGCAAGGAAGACTGTTTTCTTTTGGTTTCCAGTAGATGGCATCTAAGCCTCTTGAATCACTGCTTTATATAAAGCCTATATGTCTTTTTTATTTTCTTGTAGATATTTAATCACACTTGCTACTCTTAGTTTCATTCCCTCTCAGTGTTAGCAACAGTTTCGGTAGCATTTGCTCAGATTTCCCTGAGGCTCCCAGTGTTCGGTCTTGGAGAATTTGGGGGGAGGGGCCATTTGGATTAGGGGTTGGGGGCTGTGGCTCAGCCTAGGGCTTGCAACCAGGTCCTGTGAAAATCAACTGTTGTTTCTCTGCTGTCCCGTTGCTGTTCTTTATTTTCTGCTCTGCTGCCTGAGCCCTGCTGCCAGCTGCTAGAAGTTCGGGCACTTCCAGGCAGGCTGATCAGAGAAGTCGCTGCACCTTTTCCCCTCCCCTTCCTCCTAAAGGGAGCTCCAGCAGCTACAAGAGGCAGCTTCTTTATTTCTCCCTGTCTACCACGCGTCATCTGGGGTTCTCACCTGTGGTTGCTCTTCTGTGCAGATCCCAAGCTCAGACATTCTGGTGTGCAGTTTGGGTGTTTTTTGTTGAGTTTTAGATGTTCAGCTTATTGTTGGTTCAGGGGGAGAGATCTCAGGACATCTCTTGCTCCGCCATGTTTCCTCACAAATTCCCCTTTCTACATTGTGTTATCTCAACCGCAGTTACTTTCTTTTCAATGCTTTCCCTATTTTAAGAGTAAAATATTATAAGATTATGTATTATTATTTTCACTTTTTATGTCCGAGATTAAAAATAACATTTTTATATATGTTATATCCAAATTTAGTGGTCTTGGAGCCCATCTACACAGTAGTGACTCTGCAAATATTTTTTTAAATTATCAAATGATCTTCCTTTTTACACATTTATGTTAAAAGGGTAAAATTGAGAAGTAAATGTATAATAATTGTGAAGACATATAGCTCATCACATGCTAGACACTATTCTGGGCAATACAGATTTTATATGTTCTATATAACTCTAAATTACAATTTTTAGCTCATTTAATATGGATTATATGGATTAAGTAGTATCACTCCCCCCCTCCATTAACAGATAGGAAACTGAGGCACTGAAAGCATAAATGACGAAGTAACAGTACTAGTAGAGTTAATAATTGAGATTGGGTGGTCTTGCTCCAGAATACATGCTGTTAATTACAGTGCTATAAATAACAATGCCAGAAATTAACATCAATCTGTAATTTTTTTCTATAATCAAGGCAAATACTTCAGAAATATTTTGGAATTTATTTTGGCAGAATGAAGCTTATTAACATAATCTTTAGTAAACTATCTTTATTTTGAAAGTCTCTTTCCAGAAAAAATTAAATTTATACTCAAAATATGAAATGACTTTAAATATATATCAATCACCAGAATAGAAAGGAGAGAATGAGAGTGTGTGTGTGTGTGTGTGTGTGTGTGTGTGTGTGTGAGTGTGAGAGAGAGAGATAGAGAAGAGTAATCCGAATCGTACTTGATTGATCAATTTTAAAGGTAGTGACTGTGAAAGACAAAATTTTCAAAATTTGGGTCATGATCCTTTATTATAAAAAAAAAACTTTTAAGAGGCAGCTATATCAGCTTACTGTTTTTAATGCTTATAATTTTCAATGCTTTCCATATACATATATATATAACGCTTTTAAGCAAGATTCCTCATCTTAAGTTGTAAGATCCTGGAAAGTAGATTGCATGTTTTATTCAGTGATCTATCCTGTATTCCTAGCCCAGTGCTTTGTATTTCAGAGGGCACTCAATAAACCTCTGTTGAATGAATTAATTATCTTTGAGCATAATTAGTTAACATAAATCTATGATCTTCACAGATTTACTTACAAAGATTCTTAGAACATTAATGCAGTTAATATGTAGAATAATTTCTGAACAGATATCAGGGCCAGGAAAGAAAGTAAGACATGCATTAACTATTTTTGTTTTAAACTCATAGTGATGATAATGAATGATTTTTTTTTTCAGTATTCTAGTTTGTAAAAATTATATTTGTGGAAAGCGCTTATATACAGTAAATCCCAAATCTATTCTACATATTGACAAATTATGCAAATTAATTATTAATTATTAACAAATTAATATAGTGTATTTATTATATTAAATGTAGTAAATGAGACTTAATCATTTATTTCAGTCCTTTTAGGGTCTGAGAAATAAACACTGGTAATACATTCATAAATAATGTTTTTAGGTTATTAGTCAGTCATTTTTATGCATAATGACTGTATTTATTAAAACGAAGTGAGGAGGTATAACATCATCTAGCAGGAGATAAATTTTCAAAGAATTAAGATAGGAAAACCTATATTTAATAACCCTTTTTTTTTTTTTTTTGCAGGATTCAGATTTGGGATATTGGTGTTTCTGTTTTTGAGGAATATTTCTTTTTTGATTTTAAATTTTTTTTTTAAATCATCAGTCTTGGAATACAGGAGGAACCAGAAAGACAATTATTTTGTTTCACGTTTGAAACATTCGCTCTTGAGGTACTCTCAAGCCCAAGTACACAACCATGTGGCCATCACAGCTACTAGTCTTCATGATGCTCTTAGCACCAATAGTTCATGGTAAGACCTTTAATTGGTTTTTGTGTGATATTTAATGTTGTTTAAGTTATTTATACTAGACCCTTTCCTTTAAATCTTTGCTCTAAGATTTTGCAGCTTTTGCCTTCCATACATTAATAGATGTAAGTTAAAGGCCATAATATGTACCTTAAGCTGCAATAAATGTGAGTTTGAGTTTAATTTCTTAAGTTACCTTTTGAAATGTATATAATCAAGTTTTTTTTAACACTCACATATTTTATTCTTCATTTTTTACCACACTTAAGGAAAATCAGCTTAATTATTAACTTTATCATTTATTATGATTTTTTGTTTGCATATTTTTGTAATAAAAATAATTTTAATGTAGTAAATATACACATTTAAAAGAAAATACCCCCAAAATTCTGCTTTCCCAAACTAAGTAATCATTTTCTTCTGAGTGTTTACTACTCTGTTTAATCTTTAATACATAGAGTATAAACTGAACTTATCATTGAAGAAAAATTATTTTTGTCATATACCTTTCAATGCAAAAAAGAAAAAAAGCATTAAAATTGTATGGACATATGCAGAAAGTCAATTTTAGTGAAACATGCTAATATACTCAAAAGACTATATTCATTTATAAATACATCTTGGTATTTGTAATCAAAATATAATAGTTAAGAAATAATGTACCTTTGCAAATATTACAAAACACATAATAAATATGACAAATTTTGTACAACTTAGTATATAATATTCTCTAAATCTCTATAAAAACCATCAAATTAAAGTCTATTTCTAGGTTCCTTTTTCACAATTTAAAGTTTTTCACTGATTACCATTAGTTTTGCACTAAGATGAAAATGATATAATATAGTCATTATCTCATACTAATGGTAATTACAGCAAAGAAAAAGGGACACAGCTGTATTTGCCACTGCTTAGGAGGTCTCAGAATATTATAACATATCAAGCAGCTGAAATAATCTTTCAATTCTTTAACTCATTTTTGGTTTTTAATTGATTATACAAATACATTGTAGTTCATCAGTGATGCGATTCCAAATTTGGCCTATGTTCTTAAATTTCAACTTGAGTTGTATTCTGCTGTCATTACAAGAACTAGATAAAATAGTTTTTGTTTCTTTTGAAGTTTTCCTCTAAACTTCCCCCGATTTAACATTTATTTCTAACAAATCACTATAATATAAAGTAGTACTTTTTGAAGAGTGGAAGTAAAATTATACAATCATCTAATTTTAAACAATGTAAATTTGGTCAACAATTTCAAAATGTTTCCTTAATTCATATACTGATTCAACACTTAAACATTTACATACTTGGGCACATCTAACATTTTGCAATATGGGACAATTATAGAATGATGTCACTTTAAACAATTGTTTTCTCGATTATCTACATATCTAAAAATGATTCGTTAATTTTTTTTCTGATGTTATAAAAATGCCTCATAAGATTCTCTTGAGGATCAAATAAATAGCGTATATAAAGAATTCAGCACAGAATATGTTGAATATTAAGTGCTTGAACATGTAAATTTTCTTCATCATATTATTTGTCCTTTTAGTTTTGATTCCAATAAATTGTAACAATCAGGAATTAGCTCAGGAATTACCCAACCACGAGAGCTGTTCTGTTGTATAATCAAGGGGAAAAAATACATACGTACATATACAGAGACATAAGCATACACACAATTTATGTTTGAAAAGTCACTCTAAAATTACATTTGTTTGAGGAAGGTTGGTTAAAAATAGCAGAAATAGACGTTGGAAAAAAGACTTTTTTTCCCTGAAATTTCTGATTTCTTAAACTGATACCTACTATATATGCAATTGGGCCCTAAATGTGGAAGTCATAGATCATGGCTCTTGGATTGGGACCTGTATTGAACATGCACACACATGCGCGCACACACACACACACAGACACACACACATACACAGTTTCTCCAAGTAACTCTGAGAAGTATTTTTAAAAACTCTATTATTGCATACAGAAAATTTACTTGGTATATGAAATATTTTAGGATAAAGCTTAAAGTAATTCTTCCTATTTTTGTGAACTATTTTCTATTATCTTTTCCTTGAACCATATGAGGCTAAACAATATAGACACTATCTACTTATAAATTTTATCCTTATTACCTTGCATCAATATTTTAAAGCTTTCACCAGAGAAAGTACAAGTCAGTTTTGTCTGCCTTCTAGAGAAAGTTTCTCCATTGCTGATGTGGTACCACTTTTGACTTGTAAATAAAGGGCTTCACATGAACAGACTTTTAGAACTTAGCTTGCTCATGCATAGAGGAATGTGTTAACTTTTGATCAGTGTGAAATCTACTAGGATAGATGTTTTTAGAGTCCCACCAATCCTGGCTTAAAGAAATATTACATAACCTAAAATCTTAGCTGATTAAGTTAAAATTGATGTCACAATGATATAAGTATTCTTGTTTCCAAAATATCCCCTAATAACATGTCCTTGCCCACGGTTGTTATAATGCTCAGTTTTATTTGCCCTCCTGACCAAAGAGAATTAATTTTTCTGAATATAACCTGAATAACCATCCTTTTTTCCTGAGTAAATGATAATGATAATTACTGATTTTATAGTCATACATTTTAGATGTATTGTTGCAATTAATTCTCATTACATTCTAATGGGTTTAATAATGTTTATTATTATAATTTTTTATGGTAAAAACATTGAGGTATAAAGTCGTCAACTTTTTATGGTAAAAACATTGAAGTATAAAGTGGTAAAGGAACTTGACTGAAGTTACACTGCTATTATGAGACCCAGAAGGGATCTGAAATGAAACACTTAGCTTCTTGAGCTCTGGTCCTACTGCCAGTAGATAATCAATTCCTATCGAGGCTTCCCAATAGAGAGTTCCATCTTAACTCTCTGGTCATTTGGGACAGGTGAGGCAGAATTATAGATCATCTGCCTCTTTCATATTCTGGGCACAGGCAGACTGGGCTTTGAAGTTTGGCGGATGAGATAAAATTTCATCTTAGCCACCTACCAGCTCTGTAACCTTGTTACTTGGTGAACTAGTCAACAAATATGGTTTACCACCTACTTCGAACCATAAAACTGTGCTAGCTGCTGAAAATATAGTAGAGGAAAAAAAAAAGATTCTTAATTCTTTCCTCAAGGAGCTTACAGTAACTTAAAAATTTATAAGCTGACTTTTCATCAGCAAGAGTAAACAATTTTTCCATGTAGAGTTATTTTAAGAATGGATAGAATAATACATGGATAGCTTCTAACATAGTGTTTGGCATTTGGTAAATCTCTATTTATTATATTTGATTTTTCTACCCCTAACTTCCTTGAAATAGAACTAAATCTCAGAGTGTAGAAGAGGAAAATGCATGATTATCTTTATTCTTGCCCTGAGAATAGAAATATTTTTCTACTTAAACATCAGTGTTCAAGTTTTGTTAGAAATTTCTTAATACTAGCATCTAATAAAAAATGTTGTTAAACCAATATATATGAAGCTTAGTATGGAAAGTTAGTATATAATAATATAATTATAATATATAATTATCAGTGATGTAAGGATATAATTGTCAGTGATAGTTGTATATATTGTTAGAACATAATAGTCTGTGATGCATTTTTGCATTATCGCTACATGAATAGAATTAGAAACTAAGCTAAAGACTTAATTCTGAATAATGTTTACATTAGTTGAATAATCTCCACATAATGCTAGAAAGTCTGGCCAATATTTTCTATAGGGAAACAAAATTAATCAGTACTTCCACAATTCTTTTAAATTAAGAAATGTCTCTAGTTCTATGTTTATCCGTCCATATTTTATGTCTCTATGTGCCTCTGTATTTCTCTTTGTTTTTCATGACTGTGCCCCGCTTCCTGTACAAAACCCTTATCTATAATGAAATGAGACCTGGCAGAAGCAGATGGCCAGTACTTTGCTTTTAACTAATGTAGTGTTGCATGAAGATAAAGGCTTTTTTTGTTGTCGTTGTATTGATGTAGTTGCGGACAAGGGAAAATAATGGAATCAGAGAACAATAATCCAATGATAACGTGGGTACTTGGGGCCCATGCTGATTGGCAGTAAAGGAAAATCAAGGTTCAATGTAGAACCTGGGCTGGGAGATCTGGTCCTGGGTGTGACTTCACCAAAACCACAATGCATTGAGGTGCTGAGATATTTTAAAATATATTTCATCTTAATTAAAATGTGTACTTATAAACTGTGTCACTATTGAAAAGATAGAAAATAGGACCATTGAAGCTCACTATGGGTAAAATAAGCATTATTTTTTATCATACATTTGCATAAAAGTAGTTTTAAATTTTCTTCTATAAACACCACCTGCACACTTTTTCTGCAAGTCTATTTTTGTTGTTAAAGCTATGTGTGTGTGTGTGTGTA